ACTTTGCAGGCCGGATAGGAGGAAACAAATAAAAATTTTGCATTATCCTTTCGGCATTTATTTTAATATGCTAAAATTTCGTAAAGATAAACACTTACAACAGGAGTCGATTAAAAAAATAAATAAATAAATTTGTTTACTTTTTATGCACTGGCGAAAAAAAAAAAAAACTTTAGCAGATCAGCGATTGGAAATACCAGATATATCGGTACATAGAATATATAAGCAATCGTAAATATTTATTCTGTGATGGCTACCCGAGAGTGAAAAAACAAATTAAAGATTATTCCAGCGAATTTAAATCTGACGAAAAACATGCCGACGACGCATTCGGAAATCAAATTCGTCGGTCATTCGAGTCGGAAAAGCGAACGAGGTGAAATCCGGAGAAAATCTCGGGCTCCGTCTGGATGCTTGCAATTTTAATGCGGTCTCATTTCCGTCGTACCCAATTAAGGCGTAATTGAATTGCCAAGGAAAATTAATTCGTTGGTTATGTTCTCGGCGGCGGAGTCCTCCGAGGTCACCGGTCCTAATACTTTCAGCAATTATGCGTAAATTCGCGTAAACAGCCGCAGTCGCGTTATTAAGAAATTATCAATTAAGAATGATTTTTTCCGCGTCGCAACGCGACTGAATTCCGATAAAACCAGCTCGCTTGTTTTTTTTTTAATAATCTTATCGAGAATTGGCAATAAGTAAAAATCTGATACTTTCTTTTTTTCAAATAAGCTTTGATTTAAGCACCTTCGTAACAGTTGTGATTTCAGTTGAAGTTGAAATGAGGCGAATCGACCAGGGGGGGAGGGATTAATAAATGAATGTTGTGATTCTCGTAGCGATAACTTTTGCGTTGGACATAAACGAAACTCGTTTCTATTTTCTCGGCCGTAAGTTCCCCTTTAAAGGTACCTCCGGTCTATTCTCGTAGCGCCGTAAATACGCGGACAGGCGACTTTAAGAACGATATCGTAACGTTTCCACTCGCTTGCGCGGAAGCGTTGCCGAGCTGGCTAACGCCTGGCTCCTCCCGCCCTCGCGTTGAACCCCCGCATCGTACGAGGTGAGAGATATACCTCCTAATGTGCTTTCCATTAGGGTCGGCGTCACAAGGATGTAACGGCGGATACACAGGATGATCGCATCATCGCGGGATAATGGTTATAACTACGAGCAGTACGTACAATAAAAGCCGATGTTCCTCGTAGTCACGTCAGGGTGAAACTGCGAGCGTGTTTGTTTGCTGTGTTTTGATTTTACTCATCGTAGTATTTTTACACGCATATACTTTTCTTAAGAAGAGCTTATTAATATTGAATTATTTTACGACAGAAGGACGAGGAATGCAAAAATTAATTATATAAATGTGAAATAGAAGAAAATATTATAAAAAATTATTGGAATGAAGAATCTTAAAATTTTTACAATGGAAACTTTACGGTTGAATGCATACGTTAATCACCTCTTGATATCTGAATTCCATTAAAGAAGAAAAACTAGCTTCACAAAGTATAGAAGAGCCATAAAACATTTGCAATTAGCTTAAATTATAACCGTTGGATAAGAGAGTAATTAGATAAGCGTAATAAGACATTAACTTGTTTGTAAAATTATTGGCAATTAGGATTCTCATAATATGAAATTGCGGTCGCGCTTGTCTGGTGTAATCAAAACCACAATATTATATGCTTCTGAAATTCTAACAATTTCATTAATCTAATATTCTATATCACTGAGAGCTAAAATCTGCTTTGTACAACAAGGTGCATCATTGCAGGCATAGGCACGAATATTCCGTGTTTAGTACATTTGTGTGCGACACAATGATTATAATCATAGCATATTCAAATTTTCGAATATCAATCCACTTTAATATTGTTAGAAAATTTTCGTCCATTTCCTAAGATTGCGCGCTATAACTTGAACTCCAATTCCTTCGATATTTTAAAGTTTTTTCTAGGAGACAATAGTGACGAAGCCGAAAAAAAGCTAAATTGATTCGAATTTTCCCATACATTTCCCTTTTATTTATCTTAATCGAAATTATTGTTTGCAAAATACTCGCCGCTTTCAAAATGGTATCTTTTCCACTACGGGAACCTTTGTTATTAATTCGCCGCCTACACCTGCGCTTACTGGGAATTGTTATTTTACTACCGGCATAAAGATTAGGCGTAATTAGCCGAGATGATTTAGGGCGTGATCGCGAGATCTCTTCCATCTCGCGCTGAGCTCTCCTGTACAGTTGCGAGTGGATAGAGATATCCTGCGTTTAATCTTGTTTTAATCCTTGGTTTTCCCGATGAATGTATAGTTGGGATTAATGCTCGCGAAAATATCGCCGCGATTACACTTGTATTACGGTGGCTCGTAAACAGAGGTACCGCCGCTCGATACCCAGTTCTAGCAATACTGAATGTGAAGGATAGCGGGGGATCAGATTGCTTCGCAAGAAAACAATGTCCGCGATAAACCAAGGGGCAATTATTCGAGTATAGTCGGCAGAGTATGGAGATTAAAACAAAAAGGAATTAAAATTAAAATGGAGAGTAAAAAACAAAGGAACTTCAGATCGGCGCGTATGATAGCGGCCAGGTTTGTCGAAATGTGGGACGAAGAAACGCGCGGAAGGTGCGAGCGGAAACGAGATATCCGCACGCGAAAACGCACGGGAGGATGCAAAAACTCGTACATCACGCTTTATCGCTTGTTTTAGGAGCACAACCAGACGCAAATCAAAGCCGTTAGGTTCGATTTATACTGTGCAGTGGGTGTCGAGCTAGCAACTCGATCACAACGGATTGTTTTTTTTTTTTTTTTGTAATTACGTTTTTATTTTTTTTTATTTTTGTGCAAAAAAAAAACGATATTTCGATTTCGACACATCCTCTTTATATATGTGCGCCCACACATGCAAATCGCATTTGATATAATTAGATAATGAAATAATTTAATATAATTATATAATTGGATTTAATATGATCGTGAAATAATTTAATATATTATTATCGCGTGGTCTGAAAACTGAAAGATTGGAGAATTCTGGAATTAAAGTGTCTGAAAGAGTGTATTTACATTGAACTTGATGTCCGCCTTTATCGGAACAAGACGTCTATTTTTGCTTGCCAATAATTTCTTCTAAACGCTTCTTTATTATCTTCGGCGAAATCGTTGACGACGCGAATCAGGGGCGCTTCTGCAGAGGTGGAATGAAGAGGGACCAGGTATCGCCATTCCTTCCCGCTTCATAACCCTCTCTCTCCCTCTCGACTTGTTCGCGCTTTCTGAACTTTTCCGACTCGGTCGATCGACCTTTCCCTTCTCCCACACCGTTAGACATTCGCTCTTGGTCGTTTAATATTTCTCTCTTTTCGCCTGATTCCACATTGGTACCCTCGTCGTAGATTGCGCGACGTTTCTCTTCTTCGCTCTTTTCGCTCGATTTCACGGTTGCCGCGGCATGGAAGAAAATCGGCGTCGCGGCGCGCGCCGATAAGACGCCGACGACGATTGTGATGTCTGCGGAGCGCTGAAACAGGTCAAATGAAAAAGGAACAGGCGATGATTCCGCGATTCCGAGATTCTGGAACGTTGAATTCCTCAAAATCTTGTGTTTTTGTATTTTCGGATATTCTGTAATTCCCGGATTCTACAACTCTTCGATTTTTCAGCGCCCGAGTTCTTCGAAATCGTATAATCCGGAAGTGTTTCCGCAATCCGGTTTATCTAGTTATCGAAAACTGCAATTTCCATTCTCTTCAAATAGCTTGCATGCTAAAAGACTGAAATTCTCGAAAGTTCTCGCCGATCCGATAAAAGCAAGTGTGCTCCGCGGACGACATTTACGTTTCCATATAAAATACGTTTAGCTAGCCGGCCGCCGGGCGTGGAGTTTTTTAATCTGCCGGATAAACTTTCCGATCTGATGTCGTTCGTCGGCCGAGAGCGACTTCGTCAGAACTTCCGGTCTTTCCTTGTACATAGGATGTATCTCCTTACGCCGCTACTTACGCCAACTTTTCCTACGAAGCTTTAGGGAGGCCGAGGACGAAGTTTGATCCTTCCTTCACCAAGAGAAAGGGGCAGGAAGTCGTTTAAGATTAATGTGCTCTTCTTAGGTTACTCTTCTACGACTTCAACGCAATTGCGATCCTACTAACAAGGGAACAAACTAGAAAGTTTTGATTTTAATGAAACTTTGAAAATATGTAGAATGGTTTGTTAGAGTAAAAAATAAAAAAATAGTGCCAAGATGTTGCGACTATAAGATATGTAAATTTGGATACCTTATTTTTAGTTCCGTAATAATTTTCTATGTAATTTAGATGAAATTATGACGGTTCTTTATTCTTTTAATTAGCGTGACACGATTTTATGATATTAATTTCCGCTGTAGATTTTCCTTCGTTTCTTTTTTTATTTAACGGAGTGATACTATCATCTAAGATGATCATCCATATCATTTTCTCACATGCGTCACAAGCAAAATGAATGTCAAGAAATTGTACAATAACGTAATTGTAGCTGAACGTCACGTTTCGCTTGACATCATGCTGCAGATATGAAGCGAAGGAATGGTCGACCACGACGCTGTCTTTTCGTATAACATTGGATTCTGTCTTTTCCACTTAACTGCTTCTTTTATTTTATTGATTGTCGAAAGATCTATACACAATTGTGCTTCACTCATGATCATTGCAATATATATTTTTCTATTTTCTTTTATTTTCTAATTCAATTACTTTCTTCAATTTCTTTCTTTTTATTTCATTTTTTCCCCTTCTATTTACAGTTGCGTTGAATTTCGATTTTCCCAGCTTTTGTTTGAAATTGTGGCAGAGTTGAATCGTTGATTTTTCAAATCATAAATTTTTTATTTTTTCAACATCTCTTTGGAAGGTATAAAATCTATAATATATTTATACAATTACGTTTTCAAAATCTGAAACTCCCCGTCAGAGATTAGAAATATCTCATATGTGTACTACATATATTTGCAGAATGGACGGGCTAGTAGTGAGAGCAGCGAAGACGGAGCCGGAAGTAGCGCAAGCACATCGCGGGGAGTCGGCAGCGGTGGCGGATTCGGTCTCACTGGTGGATGCACCGGCGGCTGGCGCAGTGTCTTCGGTGCAGTTTCAGGCCGGGAACTCAGATTATACGAATGCGCGCCATGGAGTCCGGAAGCTTGGGCTTCGCCGAGCATTACTTGCCCACTTATCGCGACACGGTAAGTCTTTTACAATTTTTATAATTTATTCAGCAAACGGTTTCCGCTTCTCCTCAAATTTTTCGCCAAATCATCAGAGGAAGCGAGAGAAAAGAAAAGACAGTATTCTTTTATATTTCAAATATTTGTCACGTTATTATTACGCGATTATCATGTTTTAGAATGCTACACCGCTCTAATATCGATCCTGTTCAGAATATCATTGTTTTCATATTGCTTTCGACGTCTTTATTATTCGCAATACGCTGTATCGAAATAATCTTAATTCTGGTGGGCATTCGTCCACTTATGAACCAAAATCGCGTAACAATCCGCCATCGGCGTCATTAACGCGACGATTCACGTATCACGCGGAACCCGTATCGACTACGGACGAGAGAACGGGAACGTGCTTACGGGCGAAACGAGCCACGTATCGCGTCGCCAACGAGCGCTACGGCCGCGTCACGTTGTAGCACGTACGTCTCGTCGATTTCATGCCGGCGTGGCGTGAAACTACTATCGTACGGATTGCCGGAAAATTAAGCGTAAAAAATTCACGGGTGTCGCGTACGCGGGAGTGGCGCAGTTTGACGTAGCTTCTGCCGACGGAAACGACTTTAAGTATAAGCGACACCTTATTTATGTAAATCAAAAATTACCTCGGCGAAATGAAATTGGAAACACGCGCCTTTGAGGTCTAATATCATTTCACGTGACGCGGAAAAGCACGCCGCTGATATTTTATACGAAGCTCTATAATAATGAAATATAATGGAGAGAGAAATTGTGTTGTTTTCTATCCCATTGAGTTCCGGCGCGTACTTCAAACGTGCGCAGGGAAAATAGGAATGGTAGGGTCAGACGTGGCCCTACGAATACGTAGTTCTAGCGTAGTACGTGCACTCTATCCCCGCGCGCCCACGATGGTACGGTCGGAGGATTATCAATGAGGCACATCGGATTACAGCAGTTAGCAATGTTCGTTAGACCGCCATTTTAATTAAGACTATTATACGTCCAGCCGACTGTTCGCATGATGCCATTGTGACGCTCGTTACGTGCGCGGTTCACGAAATCGTTTTCGCGTCCGTCCCTACGGCGATTCGTTTAGTAATCATCGCCCCCTTCCCCTCCCTCTCGCCCCTCTAGACACGACATTATATCGGCACTAATCACGAATGTGTCGTTTAACCGTGCGCATCAACACGATCCGAGCTTTTAACGGCCGCGTCTAATTATTCGCTGCGCTGATCCGTCGGTTTCGGATGGACGTTGAAAGGATCTACGATATGCGGATCGGTGAAACCATTACTCACCAGCTTCGTGATCTGAAAGCGATATACAATGTACAAGAAGATGCGTATGTGGTTGAGAGTACCATCATATATCATCTAGATTGCACGATAATTATTTTAAACAATGATGTTAAGTGGATTACTCTGTATTTAAAAGTTTATAAAATTAAGTAGAAATTATTTCCAACCATGACTTCTTGAATATTATCTTATTTTCGTAACGAAAAACGAATTAAAATTTGATGCTAATTTATGAAACAGGTATTTTTATATCTTCCTGAAAAATGTACGTTTAAAAGAAAAGATTTTTTTCTATGAATCTAGATTTTGTGATAGAATATTGGGATGTGAAAATATTGTGCATGCATATTGCGAGAGCAGTGGCGCACTCATGGGGAGATTTTGGGGGTTAAAACCTCCCTCAAAATTTAATTAATATACCTTATTTTTTTATTAACTTAACAGCAAAAAGTAAAAAATCTGTAGTTAATAAAATGCGTTCAAACATTTGTATTTTTTTGTCTGTTATTAACTGTAGTCACAAGTTTAATAATTCAAAATTGCACACAAGTAATCAAGATAGCTTCTCCAGCTATACTGCTGTTCGATGGTATATAATATCTACTTTAAGATATTCATATTGTGAAAGGATTTAAATAAGTTACTTAAGAAACATCTAGCAGCCATATATATATATAATATATAGACAAATTTTCTGATTATTTAAACAATCCAGTTAATCTGATTATTTAAGAAAAACCAAGAAAACTCGATATCAATTTATAATTATGCTACTATCAAAGTAAATTGTATTTTTTATTAAACGATGTAACATTTTTATATTTTTTAGTGTGCAATATAAAATTATCCCGACTTTTGGTCATACTGTTTCATTTTGTGTGTGTGAATTTTAAACCCCGAAAAAATATCCTGAGTGCGCCACTGTGCGAGAGAAATAAACCGTCATAAAGTCAGGGTCTGCTTTTGTGAAAGAGCGATAGTTACGCCCATATTGGTAATGTTAATGTGTAATGTGTGCAAGAATTCTAGTGGGATGTGGATAACGAGATTCTATACGGATGAATAAACCGGCGTTTAAACAAATACATCGATCGTACGTTTATTAATTCCATGTAACGTCCTTTCGCAATCATTGCGGCCATACTACACGCACTAATCACGATTGGTTTCGGTTTTCATGGCGGATTGCCGGGTTGGTAAATAACCGAGCGAACAAATATCTCGACAGAGCATTTGTCAATAACGGACGGCAATTAATAGGACAGTAATGCAGATTAGATTCTATTAGAGATATTAATACTGGCTTGTAACATCAAACACATTTATTTTTGGTTAGGTTATCGGAATTTCAGTTTCCCGGAAAAAGAAGCTGCTTCTAAAAGATTTTAGAAGCCGGGAAAGTGACTTTAGAATTCAAGAAAAGGAATTCCGGAGGCATAGTCGCATGACATTGATAAGAAGGTGCGTTTGATCATTTGGATTGTATGAAAGATGCAGAGTTATATTTCTACTTTCATTATTATTATATTAAATTAAAATATCAGTGCTTCTCGTGGCCCAAAGGCGATAAGCCTTTGATATGAATTTAATTAAACGTCTGTTTATTTATCTAGACGAACGATTCTCGAAACCATCAGTAATGCCGCTCGGGGCGCAATATTACGTTATCCTTACAGGACAGTGCCGTTTCCGTTATATTTTTTTCCAGTCTATTTATTGCGACGACGTTCCCTGACCTATTTCCGTTCTTCTTCCATCGCGATATCAGCGCACAATCGATTTCATCGTCTCGTTCTACGGACATTTACCCATCTATCTGCCCGCGTTATTTATTTATTTGCACACTCGAACGGATTGCGATCACTGCTGCGTCGTCGTATTAATATACGTTCCCGCGATCGATTTATTTAGACGTTGTTTATTTACTCACGTGCGGATGTTTATTTAGCCAACTTCGTGTTGCGACAAACGGGAGTGGTCCAGTGTTGTTACATGACGATCGATTTTAGTTACAATCGTTTCGGAATGTTCTGAGGTATGACGTGACGGAGATTTGGCGACCCGGTAATCACATCATCTATAATCCAAGTGTCAAGTTTAATAACTTGGAAACTTTTTTTGAAAACAATTAAGAATTAATAATATCACACCAATTTGTCTTCAAGCGTCACTTTACTGTCCCATACATCACCATGTCCACGGCATGCAAGAAGCGTGATAAAAAATTTACTCCTTGAAGACAGTGTCGTCAGGTATTTGCCACTTTCCTCGGAATGTTTCACGGAGCCGGATATTTCTCTGGAAATGTTACTGCTTTTCTGCAGAAACGTCGCTTCAATTTACTGCCTCAATCGTGAATCTCATTTACGGGACTCAGCATCGCGGAAAGCGGCTTACAAAAAATTTAAAGGAGCTTTAGTTTTAAAGCTGACTTCGAGATAATTTGTGTCGCGAACTACACGTTAAAGTCCACTTTAAATCTCGACTAACTTGAAATTCCTCGAGCAAAACCGTTCCCGCGTCGCCGTCCAGGAATTATCTCTTGCTTCTTTAAACCGTCGCCGTGTTGCGATAGAATAATTAATCGTATGGAATAATTAATGGATCGGCTAATGGCTTCTCATTTCACGGGATTTATGCGCTTCATAATAACACTTGAAAATAATAATTGATTTCGGTAAACAACTCTTATAACGTCGCTGGAAATACACTTCGCTTTGTAAATACAGAGATAAATATTTTTATTCTTGCTATTGCAATTTTTTTATTATTTCATATTGTTTTACATTGTCATTTAATGAAAAAAATATTACCTTTGGCAGTCGCAGTGTTGCGCCGCAATGTTGATAAAAATGATTGAAAGTTAGAAAAATTAGACCTATCGAATGTTATGATATAAATTTCTGAAATACATTTTAACATTCTAGACTATTTCTTTCTTTAAAATATAAGATCTTAATAAACCGCAGTAAAGTTCTAGACCTGCCAAAAAATATGATATAAAGTTTTAAAGCATAAAAGTGACTAAAAGGTACATTAATGTTAAAAATATACATTTTGTTTCGGAAAAACTCGTCACGTACGTGTTTTTCAGGTGCATAATAAAAAATAATTATAAAAATTCGAACTTTAGACTTCTCTTTATTGTATAATATATTTTTATTATGTCCCGGCGTTGTATGTCGTAATGCATCGATGCATTGAAATAAATTATCGATATTGAGATCAATTGAGTTGGCCAATTGTCAAAGAGATACAATTTACATGTTCGAACAATTCAAATGTATAAAATATTCGAATTTTATCTGACTCTAATATACATATACATACATGAGTGTCATGATAAGAGCACGTGCAGTGCGCATAAACATCTGCAGCGTGAAAAACCGAGAAGATCCGTTTTTGTCGCAGGTCGCCACGTCAGTTTTTCGCTGAGTTATAGCGTTCTGAAAATTCGGCAGATGCATTATCTAAAAATAGACGCGGAATGCGGACACGCCCGGCACTGGAATGCGCAGAATGCGGCAATAGAGTTATTTTTATCCTACGGCCTTCTACGGCCTTGAACTGCCTTGAACTGCCTAGAACGGCCTAGACCCCCCTTAGACGCGTGAGACGTGGCAGTGCATCGACTTCGGCTTATGCCGGAGTCATTCGAGGGGATATACGTGATCATTGGTCGATGAGATCTTCAGTTTCGCT